ATTCATGCAATAAAACTGGTATGTAAACAAAGCATAGTATACTTGTAACCAGAATGTATGTGTGGAATTAAACCTATGCATCTGTGAAAACTTTTATGTATCATATAAATGTTGACATTTGTTGTTCCGTTAAAATTTGTAAATTGTTAATTGTAAAAGTGTATTAGGACTGCAAAATCGTATGTGCAGAATGTAGAAGACCCTCATAACTTCATAAACTGTGTTTAAACTCCAACCAAAGTTCAAATTGTTGTGCAGACTTTATGATACTTGACGGATCGGAGTACTTTGAAATTTTCTTTCGTTTACATCTGAAAAACGCGTAAAGACTGCATAAAAGGCGTTAAAAAGGTTGTACTAAAGACAGTGAAAGGACAGACATGCTGAGAATTAATCTATTTATCAAAAAGTTGAAATTTGTAAGTATAAGTAAAATTTTGGCATAACTTTTAACTTAACCAAGAAACGTGCAATTGGTGTCGAAAGATGCAAAAACATGCAAGGAATATGAAAATGTAAATTTCATGCATCATAATTCAGTCCAAAAATCAGTATCTGCATAAATAAAATTTCAAAAATGTTTGATTATTGTTGCTATAGTGATTTTCACTTGTTTTTTCACGTTCCTTAAAACTAATATCCGAGCTCGAGGTAGCCAGTCTTCCATGTTTACCTGTAGCAGTAACATCGCTAGTTGGCTCCTAGAAAAAACAATTGCTATCAATTAAAATGAACAAGTTAGTGAAACCAGTATACTTATAAAGCCATCTTGGAGGTGAAATGACGTGAACAGATACAGCTGTCAAAAGTCTGAAAGTCACATTAGTTGAAGTGACCTAAATTTGAAAAGTCATTGAGCAACCTCAACACAAGTAATTATAAAACAACAAATTGGAACAAGGTTAACAATAAATAAAAATTGTTAATTGAAATCTATAAAAAAAAGTGCAGTGCAGTTTTATGTGGAGGAATTCTTGTAAAAGAAACATACAAGGAAACTTCGACAATCTTCGTGGCGAGACGTCATTTCAACGAGGAACTTCAGACCAGTGCGACTACGTGCAGGAGAATTTACAGTGCAGCGAGGTTACATGCAGATTAAATAATTAGCAATAAATCTACGTTCGACAAGTGTCGACAATTAGCTAAACAAATTTGCAAATTTTAAAACTAAAGAGCTATATAAATTTCTACATTAAAGATTTCACTGAATTTATGTGTAATTAAGACACAATTCCATTGTCAATCAACTGAACTACTTACAGTATAAAAAATTATTATGCACTGTAACAGTAGAATTTAGGGGGGAAATTTCTTGTTTAATTAATCTAGTATAAGGAGTATAACATTTGCAAAAAAAACCATAACCAGTAAAATCTTGTAATATATCGATATTTTGTAACTTAAACATATCTTTCATTTAGAGAAATTAGAGTAAGAAATCAATATATAAAATTTTAATCAAAATAAAAATAATATAAAAAAAGGAAGCCACACGCTGAGAGTCTCCTATTACAATAACAATAACAACACATAAAAAAATAATAAAGGCGTCCACAACATAATAATATATACTTTACAGGGTGTCCAAATATGGGTAACCAAGTTATAGCTCGTGGCCTTTATAAGCAAACAGTCTGTATATTGGAACTATACAGGGTGTTCCAAAAAGTTATGACTCCCATAATTTTTCAGGCTTGAGTTCTATCGAAAAATATTTCAGATAAAAGTTGTAGAATACCAAGAAGCAAACATGTGGTGATTTTGGATTTTAGCTTGGCCCTAAGTTTCAGGGTCAAACCAAGGTCAGCTTGAAAATAATTAAATGAAACATTCTATTTTTTATTCCAGCAACCGTGGGCCACAACACATTTTTCTCTGAATACCTCAGCAAAAAAATATTTCCAGCAAACTTTGTAGGAATTTATAGGTACGACAAACTAGATGATGACCTTGGATTTGTCCTTCCCCAAAATTGCAAGGTTAAACTAAGGTCAACTCAGTATGAAAAGGAATACAATATTTTATGCCTGCAACAGATTAACGCGTAATTTTGTGTCGGAATTTCGGGTTAAAGAACTTTTCCAGGATGTCCTTGTATGCTATTTGAAGGTCAAACTCATTTTTCACAAAAAATAGGTGATGGATATGAAAGTAATTGAATTTAAAGACGTATTCGACTGAAACCATTAGCATCATCTAGACAGTTTTGAAATTTAACACTTTGTTAGGTCAATAATTAAAATTTGATGATAGAACCACTCTGTAGATGACATATAAATCAGCTGTTAGGTCAAACCTAAGGTCATTATCGAATGTGTCATTGGAAATTCTACAAATTGTGCTTGAAACATTTCTGTCGAGTTAGATGGGCTACTCCATGTAATATTTTGAAGTTGGCCTTGGTTTGACTTTGAAATTTACGGTCAAAGTGAAATCCAATATCACTAGCTTATTGGCTTCTTGAGATCGTTTATCATATTTTTTTATACGAGTCCTTCTGCGACAACTTGTGTGGGTAATTTTGCAAATTTTGTTCGAAAATTTTTCATCCCGAAAAAAATGGCCTGAACTTCATTTACTATACAATCTCGGTTCTCTTAGTGACACAATTTCGACGAATCAACCACGAATAGTCTCCTATCTAACAATAAAACAAACCCGAATTTATGTAAATTGAAGTGCATGCCGCCCCAGGCCAAAATAGCTTTTCAGTTTAATGAATAGGATTACGAAAACGTAAACAACCGCGAAATTAGTTTACCGGGAAAATATTCGTCCAATCTGTTTTTGCTAACGTAATAATTTAATTAGTTTCGGAATAGTTGGATGCTCGATACCGAGACCGAAAACTGTTAACTGCTAATCGATTAAATTAATTAACTGTAAGCGTACTCGTTCTTTGCGTTATCCGGGGACGACGCGATTGTACCGGAATAAAGACGGTTTAGCGGTCATTAGTGGCCAATATAAGAGCATCCGTTCTTGTGGGAGGCTTTGATCCGCGTCAAAAGTATGCCAGTTCGAGCAGAAATGTATTGTCATGGTTGTAGGATTTATGCCATAGAAAGAGTAGGTACATTGTAGTTTGTGTTTTATTTTACAAATTAATATTTCACGATTATAAATGCAAAATAACTAAACTACAACTTTTAATTTGAACTGTTTTAAGTGTATAAATAAAATCGAGTTATTCAAGCTCAGTTTTAATCTATACTCTACTTTTATTATTTAAATATTTTGTGATTTATTTAACAGGATGGTAATTACATTGAAAGCCAAAGCGTTGAAAGGGTCACGAAATAAAGGTTTAATATTTTCAATAGAAATATAATATTGAACAGCATAAACGTAGCCAATATTTTGATTATATGTATGTATAAATTATTTAACCGTGTATAATGGATATTCTTTAGATTAATCAATAATTGATGAAAACAATTTTGTCAATTTAAAAAAGTATTGTTAATTAAATATATACAGTTGTGTCCCACATAAGCATTAGCCACCCATGTAAAATTGTTATTTGTTGACCGATTTGTTTCAACATTTTTTTGTTTGATAGATCTCAGAAAAAGGAGAAGAATATATAATTTCGGTATTTTCATGATCTAAGCCATAGCCAACTAAGACGCGTTTTATAGGAAGAAAAAACGAGAAGTAATATTAGCGATTTTTTTTCGAAAAAAACTTTGAGGGTTGCTTTCGCTGTACAGCAAGAAATAAATGCTCTCTCAACGGCACTAATAAAGAATTTTATTGAAAACTGGTGTACATAAAACTTGTGTATGAAAAGACGTGTTAACAGTGTGAATGTTCGTTGGAGAGTAGTCTTCTCTGTGTGCATTCGATTGTAGGTATCTTGGTAGTCCCTGGTCCTGGCGCCACTCTACAGGGGTCGGCCTCCAGGAACCCTGTGGTGCGTCCGGCGGCGTTCTTGACGTAACGCCTGAAAATGGGTCACTTGCAACATGTATACCCACAACTTCTTATTCAGGACTATCTAAAACCCTACTATACCAATTTTTGTTGTGATAGAATGCAGGGTGTTGCAGAAAATTAAACCTTAATTTTTTAAACCAACTGAAGATTTATTTACGAAACACATGCATTATTTGAATGTTGTGTATTAATATTATTCAAATTAGCATTATTCTTACCAAACTAGGCACATTACTAAAAATATTTATATTTTAATAACAATTTGCGTTTCTATACAGAAGAACTTGATCACATTTCTTTTTGATGCAGGGCCAAGTGATGCACGGTAATCCAAAAGGTGGGATCATAATTAGCACGACAGCTTTAGCATTGCAGGGTGTGTCCAGAAGTCAAGCTGGGAATTATTCTTGCGTGGCTTCAAATGTGGAGGGAGATGGAGACAGCAATACAGTAGAGCTGAAATTGATGTGTAAGTAACCAAAACGATAACAAGTTATTTTATTTTTCTAAAAAACATAGATGATAGTTTTAAAATCGGCGCATTCGCCATTTCCTAGAATTTGTTTAATTTGCATATTTTCTTTTTAAAATGAGGTTGCCTTAGAGAAAGTTAATTTTTCATGCTCCAGTTGTCCAGACAATTAAAAAATATGAAAGTGCTAGTAAACTACCTTTACTTTTAGTGTTTTAAAAAAGTGTCAAATTATGAAACTACTATTTGTCGCAAAGTTGGTCTACTTTGATTATATTCAATTTACGACCATTTAAAAGTGAACAGGGTGGAAAATGTGGAAGAACTGAAAAAAAACTGTTGCTATTTTTATTTATAATTCTTCGACAAAGTTAAGTATGACAAAAGGCATTATAGAATTCCAAGCTTTGGTAAAATTGGTACGTACACTTTGTTTATTCAAAGATGTGTCAACGCATATAATTGATATAAGGAAAAACTCTCCGTTATGGGGAAAAATAATTTATAAAGAAACTTTTGCTTGTAATTTAAAATAATATGTAATTTGTTTAATCCCCAACGTAACTTATTTCACTTCACTACAAATACCAGGATAAAAAAGGCATTTTATCTTCACTTTCTGTTTTTCTGTATTTATAAGAACCCAACAGTAATTAATAATCGTAAAAATATTAACTTTACAGCAAAAAATGTATCTAATATAGTACTACCGTAAATCATACAAAATAGAACTAATACTTTTAAAAACAGAAAAAATTCAGCAATACCAGTGCACTAACGTTTCAAATTTTATTTTTATTTGAAATAGTATAGTTACATTTTTATGAATAAGTACACTTTAAACTTTTGTATGAATTATATCCTACGATACTTAGCCCGGTTTTTTACTTCCTAAAAAATGTATTTGGCAATTAAAAACATATTTGTCTCATAAAAAATATATTTCTAAGGAAGCAAGAGACACTGACTTAGTTCGCAGTGAAATTTACTCGGCAGATGAAAAAGATCGACCTAGTCTTTTGTAAATTTATGATGACATTTTTTTGCAACTTTTATTTCAGCATTTATTAAATTCCAACAAATCCTGGAAACTACCAGGAAATAGGCGGGCAATAAAATGTTTATTACGTACACGAATTTGAAATTCCATGTTGTTAATAATCTTCAACGGTATGTGAACGAAATTTCTGGAATATTCCTTAATTAATGTAGACTAATATAGTTTTAATTGTTTTCTTTACAAAATCTCGACTGTGAATCGTATACTACATTTATAATATGCAAATATCTGTTTCTGAGATTTCTATTTAAAAACACTAAAACAGTAATGAAAAAAATATACTTACATTTTCTTTAAAAACATTAGTTTTCTTAATTTTCAGTCTATAAAGAACATTGAATATTTTTTATGACATTTCGTTTTTTGTTTTATCAACTCCCTTTCCGTTAATAATAACCCTTGTAGCATTGTTGGCATTATTTTCGGAACGCATAACATCTACCGAAGTTTGTGAAGAATTTGCACAAGTCACGGATGTTCCTTCTTGTAAGGAACAGCTATATTTTCCTTAGATTTTCCTTGCAATAGCAATATAACTTTCTGCTTCAGAGGAGCTCTTTCATCCACCATGCCGTTTGATGGTTGTAAAATCAGCACCTTTATTGTCCAATAAAATTGTTGAAGTGCTCCTCATACAATGGCTAGTATATGCTTCTGGATTTGCGAAATTCAGGAATGAAGCAACTGTTGAGGATACCTTCACCAATGTGTTGATTCCAACAGGCTGAAACGTACATTTTTGACTGACGTATCTTAAAAAGAATCTGCCACAAGTGATTAAGTTTTAAAATATACCATATTTTGCAAATATTATGACAGATATGGCGCAGATGTTGCTCCTTAAAATATAAAAATTTCAGTGCAATAACGCCATATCTAACAAAATTCTAATATTATCTCAGTCTATAATTCTTCTATGTATGGTTATATATCAGCAACATGTAGTATACTCTATCAAAATTTTAAACAGCTAATTAATTATGGAACCAATTAAACAACACCATTGTTTTATTTCCTTCTACTCAAAAATGTTATAATTTACACTTGTGGCGGTATACTGGATGCACGAATTGATAATAAACAACGTACCATAGCAACCAGTAGATATAACACAACCTATCGCATTTCATTGAGTACTAGTAAGAAATATCAAGTCGGGCGAATATTTTTTTTTATTAAATTCCACAAATATGATTGTGATGTGACTGTTGATAAAACGTTGTATAAATGATTAACACTGTGCTGACAGTTCTGTTCCCTTTTACTTCATTGTGTCATCTATTTTTTTTTAATGAAACATGCCAAATTTGCGGTAGTCTCACATAGTTTAGAAGCAAAAACCATTGTCAATAACGCATCTCCAATCAGCTTTAAGAAGAAAATGGCCCTATAGTAGGAAAAAATTAAAGGAAATTTAACAACAACAATTTTTGAACAACTTTTATTTAAAACTTTTTTCCGAAAAAATGCATCTTCATTGGATATTGCCAGTTTTTGGTCAAAAAACACGAATGACATATGTTTTCTGATCTCAAAACCTACCCTTTTCTATGAAAAAATCTCACAGTAAAAAGGTTCGCTTATTCCGCCTTTTTATGTCTAACTTTCCCGAACTACTAGCTCATTTCATCTCTTGTGTATTAATTTTGTCGAAGAAACACCCTGTACAAGTTTTATAGACGAATTTAGTGACAACCTGCAAATTTTTAAAATGGCCTTTTTTACCGGAAAATTTCGCGTGGTTAAGAAATCATCGCGATGTCGTCCTCCGAAAAAATCAAATATAGCCGTTGAGCCCAGCCAAACGGAAAAACTAAAATTAGGCCGGTTGAGCGAGCATTTAGTGAAAAAGCCAGAGATCGTATCCGGAACACAATACACTATGATGTCTGAATTATATTGGGTTTGTTTTTAAAGGCATACTCGGGATCTCCGGATAAAGGATGGAATAATATTGCGGGGCTATCCACCGGAAACAAGGCCAATTTGATTGTCCATTGTTACAATACGATTATTATTAATAATCATAAAGACAATAGGAAACTACAAACTCCGGGGCTAGGGGCTATTTGATCATCACTGCTTTATTATAGAATTAATAATATTTCCCTTGTACCCTCGGTAAACTAAGCATGGTTTAAATGTATTGTATTTACGCACCAATTTAGCCAGGATTGGTTAATTGAGACCGCTGTTATAATTCTTAACTGTCCCGGCGTCCCCAATGAGATATCGCCTTTAAATTTTGTCTGCAACAAATCGGTTGAAATCTAGTACTAACTTAATACTTAAAGCTTCATATTTTTGGTGCCAAAATACTCAGAATTAATTATTTTTTCTATTTTATATGAAATAATGGGTTAAAAGTCTAATTTTAACAGCTTTAATATTGGCGCATTCACCATTTCTTCGAATTCATTTAATTTTAGCCCAATCACGTCAAGTGGACCCCCATTTTCCAGTTGATCATGCAATTTGAGTTCATATATTTTCAAAACTAGTCATTACCAAAAATCATACCCTAAAACTATTTTTCTAAATCTATACGGGGTGTTCCTAAATAAGTGTCGCAACGGAAAACTGTAAATTCCTCTTGAAAAAAGAAACATTTTTTCTCTCCCATTTTTCTCTCCGGGCTTTCGTTTTCGAGATACACAGTGTCAAAACTTTTTTTTTATTTTTTACGAATATCTTAGGAACCGTTTGAACTACAGGACTGAGCTTTTGTACATACATTACCACTATTAATAGCTACTTTTTCGCAACCTTCTCGAATTCATTGGACGTGCCAGTGGTGGAAATTTTAAGGTATCGTAAGAGTTCTTCCCCCCTAACTTTTACGCCACTGGAAAAATTGACATTTCAAAGCAACTTCTGAATCGCCAATGAATTTTACACAAAAAGAGTTCTCTTGGTTCATTGCTCTAAAGTAAACCGTTTTCAAGAAAAATGACTTTTTATGAACAAAAACAAACATTTTGCTAACGTTTCGAAAATCTTTCGTAATTCAAAAAATAGATAGTAATAATTAACAATTTTAACGAAAATAGGCTATTGATTATGTCATATGATATGGAACTACAACGTTGATGGGTTTTTATTGCATGAATCGTTCAAATGGTTATCTAGAATGAAAAAACCGCGGAGTGATATTAAATTAGAGGGTGCAAATTGGAGATAGGGTTGAAAATGCACCCCTTTCAGTTTTTTTAATTGTAGCTCGAAAACGAAGCAAAATTTCGCTATAGTTCATAGGAAAAATTATTTAGAGAATTGAATTTCCTATTGAAATAGCTTATTTAAAAAATTTAAAAGGAAAATTTTATGCAAAATAATCGTTAATAAACAATTTGGAAAAAAGTAAAAAATTCGATTTTAACTTTTTTGCCTCTAGTTTTTTTTTGAGTAAAGATAGGTATAGGCATTGCTTCATAGAAAAAAAAAAGTAGATAAAATTTCCTTCAAAACAAGAGGTTGTCGAGTATTTTTGGATGAAAATTGAGTAATATATGGCCGTTCAAACTTAGCCAATTTTTCGATTTTCGTCGCATTTACCCTTATACGTTTTAATTCTCATTTTTTGCACAAAAAAAAAGGAAGGAAATTAACACGTTCAAGAATTTTCATCACATGACTTATTCGAAGGATCATTAAAAATTTAAAAACCGCGGGATGCTATTAAATTAGAGGGTTGAAATTGAAGATAGGTGTGAAAAAGCACTTTTGCTGATTTTTAAATATAACACGAAAACGAAGCAAAATTTCGATATAGTTATCTCTCTTTATAAAAAGTTCTGCTCCTCGAAAAAATGAGACTGTCATACAAACATCTTAGATTAGATGTACAGGGTGCTCATAAATTAAAAAAACACGAAAATACTCAAGAGAGAAGTACCATTATTTATTATTTTACACAACATATTTATAGAACAAATCTGTTGTATAACCTCAAATAATGTCTTAATACAAATTTTAAAATCAAAATTTTCATTTTTAAGGTGGGAAGTAGTTATACATATAGAGTAAGTCAGAATTGAAATTTTTATTTTAAAATTTGTATTAGGACATTATTTCAGGTTATAAACAGATTTGTTTTATGAAAATGTTGTGTAAAATAATAAATAATGGTACTTCTCTCTATATTTTTTTAAATTGTAGAAACTTGTCATAGTAAAAAAAATGGTATTAACAGTTTACGTCACAAAATATGCATTTTTTATTCGTTTTTTTTTTTTTCAATATCTCAGTTGGATCGCACTCTGCGAAGAAAGTGCAAGAGATTATTTAAAAAATAATTTTGCAATTAACGAAAAGTGGTGAAAATCCATGTTTTTCTTGAAATTTCTACCAATTTTCTAAAAATTAATCAAACTTTCGAAAAATACTCCTCAGTTTTCAAAATATTCAACATTCTCATTACCAAGGCAGCTATGAAAAAACACACACAACCCATTTTTCTTAAATCCTTGTAAGGAGTTGAAGTTTATTAACTTTCTGTGTAATTTTCAAGAAAGAACACGTTATAGAATGTGTCAATCGAATTAACTGAATTATTACACAGTCAAATACTTCTTTTGCAATATTATAGAGGGTTTATATCAGTTGTGTATTATTTTATCCTTGGTTATTTCCAGTGTTTGCTTAAAAAATTATTACAGGGACACGAAGAACCTAGGCACTAATAAATATTAGTACTGATCATATTTTCTGCTTCGCTCAGAAGGAAATTCATATTCCTGAAAAAGCAAGTCCAATACACCTAGTTTTAATACAGCTGCAAGCAATTAAGAATTGAATTACGACGTTATTCGAAGCGTATTTCTGGATATGTATTAGTAATAAATTAAATCAACAGAAGAATATACTGAAAAAGCTATTGATTAATCCATATTAATAAAATCTTGATAAAGCTACATTGTATACAAGAAAATATCCATTAGCTACTTAATCATACAGGACGTCACGTTAAAAAAAAATCAATAATGACCTCAGCAACAATACAAAATTAATTTTTATCGAGTTTGTGTTAGTACTTTACAAACAGCTCATATTTATATTCAACATTTCTTAATATAAATCATGCATTAATCGAAAAATATATTTATTTACACATATAAATCTTGAACCGACACTATTTCAAAGACTGGCATGAACAAAAGATGACGAATAGTTTCGTAGTTTAACACTGTATTTCTTAAAGGGAATAAATAATACCCCCTGCTCCGACCATCTATATATTTCCCTTTGATATACCATAATTTTATGTTAATAATTTATTTCCACACAACATATATTAATTCTTACCGAATCCCGCTAGGTCTTTGACTGTTCACTTGCTAAATAGCTCGCAACATATTGATGTGCCCTTTCTTTATGTAAATTTACAAGACTAGGAAAGCGTATACATGTAAAGTTATTCTTATTAAATAATAATGTGGGTTATAATTATTTATGGCTATAATAACTTTTCACTATTCTGTTGGAAATAATTATTTCGCTACTCGTTGAAATATTATTACATATTTTTATATAGGTATTAAAAAAAGTTTTAATTTGTTCATATTTAATTAAAATTGTTGTCTTTTTGCATTTTCGTTGAACAAAAATTTATTGTGTGAGTTCAGTAAATAGTCCAAAATATGTGACATATGTGATATATGTCATTATAATCAGAAAAATCGCACCAATTTAAAAAATATAACAGATGAATAGAAGGTTCTATTTTAGTCTACCATTTTTCGTTTAAATGGAAATTTAAAAAAGATAAGAGTGACACAGTGTTCGACAACAATTTTTTGAGAACGGACCAAAGTTTACTAGATAACGAAAATACATATTTTTATATCATTTTATTGCCCATTTATTTATTTGCCCATATCTTTGTTAAATAATGATTACAATATACTGTGTAGGTTAATAAATGTTATTTGTGTTTATTAGTACCTATTATAACCTGTACTCATTTTTAGAAATTCTTATATAAAAGTACAAATACTGATAGTAAAAAAATATATAATTTAAAAAATTAAGTGTTGCGCATTTTATTTTTCAATAATGTATTATTATTTATATCTTTAACATTGTTTAATTTCTAGCTTTCCAGCTTCACTATTTCTGTATTTTGACAGATCCGGTCCTTAACACTTGTTGGTAAAACTTTGTTTATACGTTAGATTATAAAATGCTGCTTCAGTACATACAAGAATATATTCATTCACATACGAATCCACGAAGTGAAAAGTTTAGTTCAATATGTAAACACTCAGTTTCTTGAAGCAGGCTAAGGCTGGTCATACACGAATAGTCAGTCAATCCAGTCAATGACTATTTTTCCGTATAATTTTGTCAAACAACACCGGTTTTCATAAAAATTTGGATTTAGGTTCTATTTACCCTCTACTTCAAAACTGACCTAGTACGGAGGGTTGCTTTTACCCTAGGGTGGATGCCACCTCTTCTCGTGGGTGAAAAATGTTTCATTGAAAATAATTGGGGAATGGATATATTAACTAATTCTAAGCAACATTTGCTCTATAAAGTTTTTTCTGAAAGTCAATACTTTTCGACTTATTCGCGAGTGAGTGTAAATTTTTTAACCAAAAAAACACTTTTTCAGACGGTTTTTCGCGAATAACTCAAAAAGTATATATTTTATCAAAAAAATCATTCTTAAAAAAAAAGTAGTTTATAAAAAAACAAAAGGAATGGTGTGTTTATGGTGTCTGTAGACATAATGCAAGCTGAGTAATAGCTTGTTGAAGGTTGGTTCTCATTCTTCAAACGCCAAAATTGAAAGTTATTATAAAAACTAAGCGAGTTATGGGTAAAAAACCAATCACATATTTTTGTAGATATAAGAACACGTATATTGAAGTAGGCACAGACGTATTTACATTTTTGATTATTTATGTTATTTGCAATAAAAAACATTTTTGTTATAAATATAAAAAAAATTAAAATTCATATAAAAATAAAATTCTTATTTTCCCTATTTTTGATTGCAAATTTTAATCAGTAGGTTTTTTTTAAGGTTTGATAAAATAAGTACATTACATTTTAAATAATAAAAAGTTTGTATTATATTTTGAACTAAAAAAAAACTATAATTGTTCAATTTTTTTTGCAAAGGGTGGTTTTTATAAGAGTTGAAACTTATAAATAAATAATAAAAAATTAAAACAGTAAAGAAATCTTAATTTAATATCACTATATGATTAAATTATTCTAAGTTACTGAATAATATTTTTCAACATTATTGTTTAATTATTACTGTCATAGTGGGTTGTTTTTATGGATTGGCAATTTTCAATTCATCATAATTACTTATTTAAGGATGATTTCAACCTATTAGACGCTCGAATCTACAATTCGATAATTATTTTCGAATAGGGATAGTTTTCACCCCTAAAAAATAAAAAGCAACCCCCGGCACTGGGTCAACTTTGAAGTAGAGGGAAAGTAGAACCTTAATCCAAATTTTGGTGCAGATCGGTACTGTTTGGGAAAATTATACAGTAAAGCCCTATTTTTATCTTCAATGACTGGACTAGAAGCGACATATTTTCTTTCTATTAATCATGTGGATTTTAAAACCTTATCATTTTTTTAACGAAGTCTACAAATTGCAAATCTCTAAGATTAGTCAAAATAGAACTCGGTGAATATTTACATTATTATTTTACAAACATACAGAAAAATTGTTAGTAAAATATTCGTGCATTATGTAAGCAATAAAATAGCATTAAATCTAATCTAAATACAAGAATATGTTGTGTAAAATATTAATCTATAAATTGAAATATTTCATTACAAGAAAAAAACACTTTCAGTTTAAAGAAAATTTAAGCCGCTCCTACATATTGCGACATATTTCTCTAGCGACAAGTCTAATAGAAGCATATAATATTGCTTTAATACATATCTACAATTTAGCAAAGTATTAATCTTAGTAGAAATAGAGTTGTTGATTAGGTGTAACATTATTTTTTAAAAACTTCGAATATTACACTTGATAGTGCGCTGGTGATTTCACGCCAACAAGTAGACATTTGAAGCAAGCTTAGGCTGCTCCTTCACGAAGGAACCTGTCCTCTCATATATCGCCTTGAAATAAAATGATTTAATTTTACTTTATTAATTAGTTAAAATAGAGTTTATTGAAGATGCAGTTATTTTACGAAAAAAAGCAATTTTAAATTTTTAAATTGCCAGTGTTGCGAGAAACAACTACTCCGCGGGCTATATGCCCCGACCGGCATTGAAATACACTCGCAACAGCTAGGATTGCTCGTCAGTCTAACCCACCAGGCACAGACCGGTTTCGGACTTATTAGTCCTCATCAGTGTGTCATAGGTGAGACAACCGACGAACAATCCAGCTGTTATAGGGTCACATACTCACGACAAAGAGTCATTTGAATGGCATAGTGGGAAGTCATCACGACAGATGGAGCCATTTGCGCTTCGCGTACAATTTTAAATTTGCTAGTAAAGTTTTCCTTTATTATTTGCACAAAAATGTGTCAAATTGAATATAACTCTGCGTTTAACTGAACCGCAATATGAAAAATTTTAGTCCAATAGCGAAACGCTTTCAGATGCTTAGGCTTAAGCCGCTCCTACACGAAGCGACAAATTTGTCTAGACGACAAATCGTTCCTATCAATGCAATTTTGTTTTAATAAAAGCTTTATGATTAACCAAAATGGAGCTTAATAAAATGCAAATATTTAAAAGTCAAAAAAATATTTAAGTTTGAATTTTTAAAGAGATCTTTGTTTCAGACAAACCAATCTGTCGGACGGAACAGAAGCGGATCTACGGTGTCGCCAAACACGAAAACGCTAAGATTCTTTGCGAGGTCGAGTCCTACCCGCCCCCAGACAGCTTCAAGTGGTCTTTCAATAATTCCGCTGAGACCATCGAGGTGCCCCAAACGAGGTACAACTCAGGACTGCACCATTTCTCGTCCACCCTCACTTACACTCCGGTGACCGAGCTAGACTACGGGACGGTGATGTGCTGGGCGAACAATCTAGCCGGAAGGCAGCAGGAGCCGTGCATTTTTCACATAATTGCGGCGGGAAAGCCGGATCCTCCTTATAATTGCTCGATCGTTAATATGACGAACGAGTCGCTGGAAGTGGAATGTACGGAAGGATTTGATGGTAAGTTGAAAAAAAAAACAGTTTTATGACTGTTTTATTACTTTCTAGTCCAGTCGGTATCTGTTTTAAAAGTAGGTTGTATAGATGTTTCATATAGTAACGCTAATTTTTGTTAAAAATAGTTCTAAATATTATGTAAAATGATAATGCGATATATACAGGGTGTTTATAAATAAAGTAGCGAAAATGTTACCAGTGAATGTAGTGCCAAAAATAAGAGGATTGAAGTAAAAATACCTTAATACCTTAAAGGAGGGGATTGAAATTCACATTTAAATTTTTTTCTTTAACATGGGGAATGCTAGAGACACGAAACTTGGTATGAGCATCCTACTTATAAAGAGACAACATTTCAATATTTTTTCGATCATTGGCGTATTTCATAAAGGAGTGAAACAGTCAACCCCATTGTAATATTTTATTAGAAATTTTTATATGAAGCAAATTATTTATTTAAAAATATTTATTGGGAAGACTGATTTATTGCGCAACTTTTTACGTCTCGTAATTTTTCGATAAAACCGATAGTTTTCTAGTAAAAAAATTAGATTCGTCATCTTTCACTAAAGGGTTAATTGCGAAAATTTGTAAAAATAAAGTAGGCGGATGTCATAACAAATAAATTGTTATTTAACATATTAATAAATTGACACTTTCTGTCAATAAGCTGGTAATTTAATAATAACATTAAGAATCATTTGCTATTAATTAATGAAAAATGTTTGATAACTTATGACTATGGGACATATATTAGGTAAAGTTATTTATCTGAATAAAAATTTAATACATACGAAAACCAAGAAATGTAAAATTAAATTTAAAGAATATTCTCGAAATAATTTCTATTTTGCTGCAAGCATAACCTAATACGTCTGTTGAAGTTATAACGCACAAAACAGTTCTTGGTTATTGCGAAGGTCATCTGCTGCCTGAAATATTCTTAAGCGTAGTTCTTCTAAGAAGGCAACAGGAGTGGCATAAACAATAATTTTTATGTGTCCCCACAAAAAGAAATCCATAGGCGTTAGGTCAGGTGAACGTGCACACCAACAAACAGGGGCATCACGACCACGACCAATCCAGCGATTCGGGTAATTTAAATTTAACCATTTTCTAACAGCAAGTGCGCCCCATCGTGCATATCCACATCACCTAACATGTAGCGAGGGGTACATCCTCAAGTAATGTTGGAAGATTTCCGTTCAAAAATCTAAGATACTCGGCCGCTCCAAGCCTGTGTGGAAGAATAAAAGGACATGTTAGAGTATTTCCTACAATTCCCATCCAAACGTTTAAACTGAAACTATGTTGACATCTTAAAACAAATATTTCATGAGTATTTTCTTCCGACCATGAATGATCATTATAAAGGTTTACTGCACCCACTCTAGGAAAATTTGCTTCATCGGTGAAGAGTATATTCATTAGGAAATTTAAGTCGTGCCTGGAACTATTAATGTACCATTGCCAAAAATCCACGCGGTTAGGTAAATCAGGGTCATTCAATTCTTGCACGGGTTGATGGTGAAAAGGGCATAAAAGATTTCCTTGAGCTACATTCCACATAAGACTGTGAGAAACTTGCAGTTGCCTGGACACATGTCTTGTGCTTGTACCACAGTCTTGTTCTAGATGTTCCGGTATAGCTTCCTCAGTTTCAACAGTTCGAACATTACGCCTTCTTCCGGTACCCTCACGATTTTGCTGAATATTACCAGTTTCGCGAAGCCTTCTTTCCACCGAGACCAATGTTTGTCTATGAAGAATCGGTCGGTTTGGATATCTTTGGTGGTATAATCTTACTGCAGCATTACAATTTTTTCTGGATTCGAAAAACACTTGGAGCATGTCGACATATTTGTCATTGGTATAAATATTATTTGCCATAATTATCCAAATAATAAATTAATCAATTGATACTAATCATCGGTTAACAGATGGTGTCAATTTATTAATATGATAAATAACAATTTATTTGTTATGACATCAGCCTACTTTATTTTTACAAATTTTTGCAATTATCCCTTCAGTGAACGATGACACATCTAATTTTTTTACTAGAAAACTATCGATTTTATCGAAAAATTACAAGAGGTAAAAAAGTTGCGCAATAAATCAGTCTTCCCAATAAATAATTTGCTTCATTTAAAAAATTTCTAATAAAATATTGCAATGGGGTGACTGTTTCTCTCCTTTATAAAATACGTCAATGATCGAATACTGAAAAGTTGTCTCTTTATTAGTAGGATGCTCATACCAAGTTTCGTGTCTCTAGCATTCCTCATGTTGAAGAAGAAAATTAAAATGTGAATCTCAATCCCCTCCTTTAAGAGGGTGTATCGCCTTAGGGGTGCAACTTTCATATAAGGTATTTTTACTTCAATCCTCTTATTTTTGGCTCTACATTCACTGGTATCATTTTTGCTACTTCATTTGAAAATACCTTGTATATTACCACTACTGTATTGCAGAACAATAATGCACATAAAAATTTAGGACCACTTTTATTTTGAAGAGAATCTCAAAACGAAACTTTTTATCCTTTGATTATTTTCTCTAATGTCAATATTCTCCAAGTTATACATGAAAGAAGGAAGAAAAATGCGCCTTTTTAATTATTATTTTACATTTTCTTGCGCTAACAATTATACACAACTTTTTCAGGGGGCGCATATCGCAATTATCATTTTAAATAATATTTAGAACTATTTCCAACAAAAATTAACGTTACTATATAAAACATCCATCCCGAAACAGATACCTACGGACTGGACTATTCTTGTAATTGCTTTATGTAAGCTCGCAATTTTGTTTTCTTTCGAGACGATAATACGATGTAGAAATATTGTTCAGTATACTTTCAAAGTTAAATATAACCACTTTGTTGTTTCCTTGTATTGTTTGTTTCGAAAAGTCCAAAAATATGTGCAGTAGAACAATTTTTAACTGCACTTTTAAAATTAGATATGACTGTTTCGTTTTTCCCTTTCAACTGCGCTATGAGATCTTCAATTTTTTTTCAGATGTAGTTACATGAATATGTCCATTTGTAATGTATAAAATTTTCACTACACTTCCGTAATTAAATTTGACATCCTTTTGTTTGTACTATGAGCATCTAGAACTTTTCTTCTGTCGAAAATATAGTTGTACCTAGAAGAAACTGCGAAATAAGCTGCAGAAAAATTGTTCACTACAGTTTTGAAATTAATTTTGACTTCTTTGTTTCTTCTTTGTGACTACTTTAGGAACTTTTCTATATATAGTTGTTTTAATATATGCGCTATAAAAATGCTTTACTATTCTTTTGACATTAATTATGACAAAAATATTTATATCTTAATTTAATTAAATTAAGATTGTTTTTTTATTTACTTTTAATTGTTCTATGATACCTCCAAATAATCTTCTTTTCTTTCGAAAATATGAAAATATAAGCTGTAGCAAAAATTTTCGCCACACTTTTGAAATTATATCTACTTGCTATAAGTTACATCGTAACTACTTTATGTAATCTTGATAATATCGACTTTGTACTATTAAATTTATCAAATTTTCGTTTCAACATTCTCATAAAATAGCATATAAAACAGAGGCAAGCAGTAGGATATCAAAATGTTGGAGCTGCCTTTCGAGGAATAGTAATTTGTGCCAACATATTTGTTGGAATTATTCTCACATATAAGACACATGTTACACGAGAGATAAACACCTCAGTATATTTTACCTTGAGCTATGTTGAATTATCTTCGTGTATAATCCCGTGTCTACATGTTTCGCTACAACTTACCGGGTTGAATACTAATGAAGTATTGCGAAACAAGATAATCAGACATACAAACACATTTTTGGATATTTAATTTAAATAACGGTTCTTGGCACAAAGGAATCAAACAAATTTCGTATAATATTTTCCAGAATATTCATTATTCAGGGCGTTTCGGGATTAAGTCGGCAAAATTTTATAGATACACATACTTAAATAAAATTTCTGATCCAAATGATCAAAATTAGAAAAGAATTAAAGGAATACGTTTATTGTTCCTGATTTTTACGTATTCATTATTAAAATGAAAAAGAAGAAATTTCTTCGACTGTTCCCACAATTTTACATTCATATTGTTTGAATATAAAAAAAAATTAAATTATCAATAGAAATTATTGAAGCGAAAATTGCTTTCTGGGGCAGCTTATAGCAGCAAAAAAAATCATTTTTTAATTAAAAATTTATAAGGATTCAGCATACAGGGTGGCCTCTGGTAACGCCTCGGTCGCTAGGGACCAATCGGCAAATGTTATAGAAACCTGTTTAGGTGGATACGTGTAGGTTGATTACGGCTACATTTTAAAAATATTTTGAAATATACAGGGTGTCCAGGAAAGGCGTACCATATCAAAGGTATGTATTTTTAAATGGAACACCCTGTATTTTACTGCATTTTTGAAAGCATCGTAAAAAAATAGGTGAACTTTATCAAAAGGACTTATTGTTTGTGAGATATTTCAATTTTAGTGAAAATGCAGGCTTAGCGTAGAAATTTAATATCAGCAATAAAAAAATAATTTAAAGAAGCAGCTTTGGAGAGCGTATTTTAGATCCTTGAATTTATAACTTCAAGGATCTAAAATACACTCTCCAAAACTGTTTCCTTAAAATAACTTTTTTATTGCTAGCAGTATAATACAGGGTTTTTCATTTAAAAATACATAACTTTGATATTGTACGCTTTTCCTGGACACCCTGTATATTTCAAAATATTTTTAAAATGTAGCCGTGGTCAGCCCGCCTAAACAGGTTTCTATAACATTTGCCGTTTGGTCCCACCCTGTATAATATAAAAAAAAAAAACAGTGTGGATAAAGTTAGAAATATCTTTAAAGCAGTAAACTTTTAACAAATTTCTCTTTTTAGTACTTTTCTTCAAAAATTGCTGTAACCATTAATATACATGGTGTAAGAAGTGTGACTGCCATTACTTCAGCATGAGACACAGTAAAAAACACTCAGAAACGGTCCTATTCCAGATAACAACTGAATTGCGTATTGCTAGACAGCTTAGTACCTCTTGTTATCCGCCGGGCGTTGTCGCATTGCTCGATATGAATTTTATCGAATTGAATTTTAAATTTATTACAATGCTAATTAAAAAAAATGATAAACACTGTATTTTATGGTATTCTATGCACGTAGTTAAGTCAATATTCCTTAATTAGTCGAACTTTTGTACATCAAGTTGAAGATTTTCATCTTTTTTTCTCGGAAATGATTGAGTTTAGGTCCCATGTCATATAGGTTTTTTTTTGTTTATTTTAATGTATTATATCGTCTGTTAAAATTAAGGCAGTCAAACTTCTAACACCCTGTATATCTTGCTTACTAAGAATTAATTACTTATTAAAAACAGGTAGTCAAGTAAGGTGTAATATGATTTATTTTAATATCGTTTGGACGTTTTTTGCAAACTAAGCTGAGTGGATTGCAGAAANTCTACAGTTCATCTTGTCAGTCAAAATAAAATTTCTGTGCACAGCTTGCATTGCTCGATTAGAGAAGAATTATTTTCCATTCAAACAAAAAAAAACATTTTCAAATTGAACAAACTATGGCGGAATAATTGAACGAAGCATAGGCTCGATTAAATCCAACTGCAATTTACATTGACGTCTAATCTCAATGTTTGGGAATCTTTTCTCGTCCGACTGTACCTCACAGCGTTTTTTGCACTCGCTGCGTCTCACTCAGAACTTTACTGCTTTTACCAACACGAGGCAGACAGTCAGGTGCTATTATCCCCTTAAGCATAAAGAATTTAAAAAAAAATGATAAACACTGTATTTTATGGTATTCTATGCACGTAGTTAAGTCAATATTCCTTAATTAGTCGAAATTTTGTACATCAAGTTGAAGATTTTGATCTTTTTTTCTCGGAAATGATTGAGTTTAGGTCCCATGTCATATAGGTTTTTTTTTGTTTATTTTAATGTATTATATCGTCTGTTAAAATTAAGGCAGTCAAACTTCCAACACACTGTATATCTTGCTTACTAAGAATTAATTACTTATTAAAAACAGGTAGTCAAGTAAGGTGTAATATGATTTATTTTAATATCGTTTGGACGTTTTTTGCAAACTAAGCTGAGTGGCTTGCAGAAATTAATCATTTTGCACTTTCTGTTGCAGGAGGGCAGCCCCAGTACTTCCTGCTGGAGGTATACGACTGGAAAACGGCTGTCCTTCAGGCTAATGTGTCTGCCAAGTTCCCTTTATTTATCGTGAGCGGACTAGATCCCGGGAAAGTGCTCAAGATGGTCGTTTATGCGGCCAACGCGAAGGGAAGAAGCGAGCCGGTTTTATTGGAGGGATTTACCCTGAAAGTTGCTGAAAAACAAACAGGTAAAATTTACAGTTTTAATGGCCCTCATTAGAATGCGCCGCCGTCGAATTGGGACGGTGCAGCTGCATTTCACTCTTATGCCGTTCGATGGAATTTTACGATACATAAAAAATGCCCAACCCATTAGCCGGCGCTGGGGTTTATTGTAATTATGCAGTAACTCGGCGGTAAAATATGCCTGCAAATATTTTAAGGGTTTTTACACACAATGTAGGCCCATGCTATACATATTTTTATGACATATGCATGCATAAAATTAAATAACACTGCGCTGTACAAACAAATACACTAACCGTAATGTTAATTATAGTCGAAACAATTATTCCCATTATATTTTGCTTGTAACCAATACAAATTTTGTTTTGAATATTTTAGTAAAAACAAGGCACAATTTATTTACAATTAGTAAATTTATTAACTATTAAAAAATCGTTATTTAACACAAATAAGTATTTCTTTCTTATCACAAAACAATTTTATATTGAAAGCGTGTATAATTAATTCCAAAGTTTTACTGTAATTAAAACAAATATAAAATAACCAAATATATTTAATAACGAGCGTTCAAATAAAAACGTGGTCAAGTTGGTTCTGAAAATTTGGACGTAGGGCGTAGCGTATAGCAAATGAACTTAAACGTCATCTGTCAAAGCGCTATATCGCCGCTATCAATTTGAATATTTTCGTTTTAAAAAGCGTTGAAAGTGGTGTTTTCTCAAGAACAAAAAGTGTTTATCATAGAGTCCTACTTTAGAAATGGACGCAAGATTGATGGAATATGGAAGTATTCTATTGAGGAATGTTTCATAGAATTTCAAAATCAATTTCCCGGCGTTGTTGAGTACAAAATTTTTCAAAGTGCAGTTCAGCGTTGTGTTAATGTTTTTCGTGAAACGGGCAGTGTAACAAGAAAAGAAGGAAGCGGCCGACCTAAAAAGCGGACTGAAGAATTAAAAGAAAATGTCCAACAAATAATGGAAAATGCGCCAAGAACTTCTGTACGTGTTTTATCACA